GATACTGATACTGATACTGATACTGATACTGATACTGAACTGTGCAGTGTGCAGTGTGCAGTGTGCAGTGTGCAGTGTGCAGTGTGCCACAAAACAAAGCCATTGGACTTAAATTTCAAGCAACTGTTAAAACTAGTAGTTTTGTAGCAACAGTAAAAACAAATCAAATGCTGATTTCAAGTGACAGTTCATGTAAAGGGTGGCATGTCTGATTCACATAGGAAGCTTTAAACAAATTATAATTTAATTATAATATAGAAGAAAAATATGAAATATTGACGTACCTTTTTCTTGTCAATCATATTTGAAAATAATCAACTTTTTAAATTTTAACACATAGATGTCTTATTTGTTCTTGATCATAGAACGTTATTAAGGTACCGTTGTGAACTAGACATGCCACTCTGTATATGGAGAGTCACTTGCAATTACGTCAACAGTCTCTTTTGATTATTTTCTTGATTATCTAATATTTGTATTGTAGGGAGCTGGTGGATAAAAGAGCGGATATTGCTCTCGGAGCACTCAGGAATATAATGATTTTACCACTACCCTCTAATATAATGATTTTATCATTACCCTCTAATATAATGATTTTATCACTACCCTCTAATATAATGATTTTACCACTACCCTCTAATATAATGATTTTATCACTACCCTCTAATATAATGATTTTACCACTACCCTCTAATATAATGATTTTATCACTACCCTCTAATATAATGATTTTACCACTACCCTCTAATATAATGATTTTATCACTACCCTTTAATATAATGATTTATCACTACCCTCTAATGTATTGATTTTATCACTACCCTTTAATATAATGATTTATCACTACCCTCTAATGTATTGATTTTACCACTACCCTCTAATATAATGATTTTACCACTACCCTCTAATATAATGATTTTACCACTATCCTCTAAAATAATGATTTTACCACTATCCTCTAAAATAATGATTTTACCACTACCCTCTAAAATAATGATTTTACCACTACCCTCTAAAATAATACTTTATCACTATTGATCCTAAGATTTGTAAAGGTCAAAACAAGAAAAACCACTTTAAAGTTAAAATGTTTACATAATTTTTCAAAGCTGTGTGTATCGCTGTGAAATGCAGCTATTTATCTCAACAACACAAGTTTTATGACAGATATATAATGCCCAATTGTTATTTGATAAAGTCCTAAGTCAGATTTATTACATTTGACGTGTTTGTATAGAGTCAACGGTTTTAAAGTTACTTAAATGTTGCGCTATTTAATTAAATTAGTTACATGAAAGCATTGAACATATCGTTATTTAATAATTTAATTAAATTAAATTAAAATCACTATCTCTAATTTAGTGTAATGGCTGAAAGAGAAAATGTAGTTGATTTTACAGTTCCATATTACGATCTGGTCGGGATATCAATTCTTATGAAACAACCACAGGTATAGGCTGGTCAAATCATGCTGACAAATCAACCTGTGGTTGAAACTTTTGCAGTGTTAATCCATTCAGAAACCACTAATCCATATAGTCTGTATTTCTACAGATTAAGTTTGTTACTTCTGGATATCTTTCAATATGTTAATTCGAGTTGATCTATCTATCTATCAATCTATCGTTTTCAAACTTATTAAACATATCTAGCTTTCTTCTTAAATAAAAAACTATTTTTCTATTTATTTAAATCATTAGATTTTGTATTTTGCAAAATCAAATTTTTATTTTTAAATGTTTAAAACTGATACCAATACTGATTTTGATACTGATACTGATACTGATACTGATACTGATACTGATACTGATACTGATACTGATACTGATACTGATTCTGATACTGATACTGATACTGATACTGATACTGATACTGATATGCTGATACTGATACTGATACTGATACCAATACTGATTTTGATACTGATACTGATACTGATACTGATACTGATACTGATACTGATACTGATATGCTGATACTGATACTGATACTGATACTGATACTGATACTGATACTGATACTGATACTGATACTGATACTGATACTGATACTGATACTGATACTGATACTGACACTGATACTGATACTGATACTGATACTATTTTTCTAGGTTCCAACTTCCCTCTTTAAATTCTTGTCCGTGCTTGAAGACTCAGTTTGGTAAATAGTCTTATAATTATTTTTCATTTGAGTTATTCGAGGGAGGTCAGTTTGTACAATTTTACTATGCTCATCAGATCAAATATTCAACCCCCGTTAGAAATAAAACAAGTTATATGCTAAAAAAAATTTTTGAACGAAAAGTTTGGTTTCCCTAAAAATCAAAGTTTTAGATCAAACTCTTTTTGAGATGTCGAAGCAAAAATAAATGAACAGTATTCAACGGCTTCTTGGACATCTTAAGATACCCATATTAGCATATTTTTGACAACATAAAAGTGTTTTTTAAGCAAGTTTTTTTTATTTTTTCCAGTCTTGAGGTTGTTTTCGCGTGGCAATTTTAATTTTTCAAAATTTCTCTTGTAAAGTTTTGTTCAGATTGACAACACCCATTCTTTATAACCCCTTGATAATATTTAGAATTTTATTGTTATACAAAAAAAAATCCGAAATGGTTAATAACTTTTTATGAAGACTACAGGGCTAAAATTCAAATATTTGAAAAGCCCTTGAAAAATGGATACAATAACATGTGTCTTATGTTAATGTTTGTCAAAAGTAAAAATAACTATTTTTCAGTATTTTCCGACGAACTTTTTGAACTTTTTAAAAATTCTACCTTGTACACTAACCGTTAAAGTTAATCTTTTTTAATGAACAGGCCTTGAAAAGTTGAATTAGTGACATGTTTTACACTCCACTATCTCAACTCTAAGAGACAAATCACAGGGGTGGGGGCGGGAACACCCCTCCACCCCCCACAATCCATATTGAACAAAAATAGCCCAATAGGGATAGGGGTAATATATAGATACATATTTCAGAAAGTAAAACAAAATAAAAGTGAAATTATTTGTATCCTACTCAAAACTTAAAGAGTTTATAAAGTACAGTGTTTATTGTACAAGGCACAAGCCTATTATCTAAAACTATTTCTGTTTCCTAGAAAAGACTCGTGGGAAAACTTTTCAAATGTTTCTCAATTATTCTCTCAAGAACCAGTTTTCTCATTAGAATTATACAATATATAATCTAGATGCATTTTGTTGCCAAAAGATCAATGTTCTAATACTTTCTTATACAATTTGGCAACAAGCTGTAATTATTAGAATTACATAATTTACTCTCTTACTTATATCTCATGTAAGAATGTATTGGATTGAGGTTATATTGTGTCGCTTAAAGGGACTGTAGGCACAAATTCAAGTGACCCTTCATTTCTAGATTGGTAGGTCCGATTCACAAAGGTGCCAAAGAATGGAATGATATCGTCGTGTAATATGCTTTGAACTTCCTTCATTGTCGCTACAAAATAAATCCGCAAAATACATATCCCAGTGAAACTTCAATTGAAATTATTTCCACTTATTTTGGTAAGATGGCCGACAAAGATTCAAATACAGTGTACAACGGGTTGAAACTAACGAACTGTTTATTTGATCCTTTGAAGAACGAAACGACGATATTAAAAAAACGATCATTTTTGTAAATTTTTCTTAATAGATAGAAGTAAGATTAGTAGCGATCAAAAGCGCTTTTTTATCGCATTAAGCCTATACCCCCTTTCATTTTTCGCGAACACTCCCTTTAAGTGAATTTGAATTTTATGAATTTTATTTTTGAAAAAAAATCTGAAGTAAGAGAAGTTTATGAATGTATTTCGGAAAATGGTTATAAGGTTTGTGACCGCTAGTCCGTTTAAGAAAAAAGGTTATGGGAAAAAAACTTTTGAAAACAATCGTTTCGTTTTTCGTTTTTTCTACGTCGTTCAGAGAAACGATAAGTTTACTTTTACGAAAAATGAAAACGTCCATCCCTAGGTCCCACCTTACATATTTTCAACAAAAAAATGTGTTCAAAAATTTGTTTATATATCTAGGTTCTGTATTCTGGCAGCCTACGTTGTGACATCTGTGATAATGTGGATCTTTGACAGGTTATCTTGAAACAATACGTATCTATATATGCACCTCTATATACAGGGTTACTCACAAAGGATGAGACTTCAGAGACGACTGTACAGAATTTATACTGTCTGTTTCCGTATATCAATTATTCTCTGCAATCTTCAACTTGTTTCTTTCGTTGCCTTATCGTTAAATAAGCCATTGCATTCAACCTTTATTTAAACTTGAAATAGTCAGATTTAAAAAAGTTTCATGTTGTCTTTACAGTTTTATCCTTTGTGCGTAACCCTAACCCTGTATATGTAAATATAATATATTATGTACATAAAAATGTGTTTACTTATCGGATGCATACAAATATATATATATATATATATATATATATATAAGTACTTAAATATATATATTTATATCTTAAACAGCATTTTCCCAGTTCTTGTTGGTACAGGGTTACTATTTAGTAACAAAGGATAAGACTCTTAAAGTATGACGATTCTTATGTTAAATTTAGGTTTTTTTGCCTTGATTAAAGTATGACGATTCTTATGTTAAATTTAGGTTTTTTGCCTTGATCAAAGTATTT